TTAGAAATCAACAACACTCTGTACTTTGTTAGAAATCAACAACACTCTGTACTTTGTTAGAAATCAACAACACTCTGTACTTTGTTAGAAATCAACAACACTCTGTACTTTGTTAGAAATCAACAACACTCTGTACTTTGTTAGAAATCAACAACACTCTGTACTTTGTTAGAAATCAACAACACTCTGTACTTTGTTAGAAATCAACAACACTCTGTACTTTGTTAGAAATCAACAACACTCTGTACTTTGTTAGAAATCAACAACACTCTGTACTTTGTTAGAAATCAACAACACTCTGTACTTTGTTAGAAATCAACAACACTCTGTACTTTGTTAGAAATCAACAACACTCTGTACTTTGTTAGAAATCAACAACACTCTGTACTTTGTTAGAAATCAACAACACTCTGTACTTTGTTAGAAAATGACACAACGCTTACAAATGCGTCAATGAAACCGCCCGTGCATCGTTCAGGATTTTACACCGTGAGATGCCTCAGGCAGTCTGTACTTTGTTAAAAAATGACAAAGCACTTGCTGCATCACTGAAATCAACAACTCGAAATCACAAACCCATTAACACGTAACTTGGACGAGTTCTACCACGACGGTCACCGTATCAGGACACCTTTGCTCGAAATGAAAGTTAGAAGTTTAAATCTGTATTAGCTACTAAGTATATTTGAAAATGTCCAAAAATTTGGAGGAGGGCGAGGGTTCAACATCGCACGCGTTCGATCTGTAATAATACCTCACGCATTGTAAAAAGCTTCCCAAATAATAGTGTAGTAATATAACAAAATGACAAAAATAACCAGGTTTGAAAAAGACGAGAAGCTTGTCACTTTTTTCATTAATACTCATAGCAGCATTATAATTCGGAAATCAAATATTTACTAACACTTATTTATATGTCTAAAAATGTTTTAATTATTTCAGTGAAATTTTGTTACAGATCTTGAAAATTACATTTGTTAGTTACACAATAATTGAACTTGACTGGCATTTCATGGCGAATGATGATGGGATTCACAATTTTGAAGATAATCAGATGAAAATGTATGAGTTGTTGTAAACACAAGATGAAGGCAATTTCAGGTGAAATGTAATGAATATCTTGAAAAATATATATATACGTAGAACGTACCATGATCGACCTTGTCCGAGATCCTTTGTTAATACATGTATAATATCCCAGTTTGAAAAAAATATAAACTGTTTGAATTATTGTAACCACAGCGACGACAACTATAACAGTAAAAACAACGAGGACAGATATTTATGGGGGGTATACATCTAAAATGATACGAACAATGTAGACATATACAGAAGTTCCTTTCCAGTGATTGGGTCACGGTTTCCAGTTATGAGTCATCAGTTCTCATAGTGATTGGTCGAATCTCAATTAATATATAATTGAAGTGAGGTGCTCCCTAAATAGACATATTGTTCAACTAACCACATTGATAAGTGATAATAAATGAGAATTATTTCTGTGTCTTTAGTGGTATTTTACTCGAGCAGCTGGAATAGCCAAGGCGAAATTACAGTTTTGTGAAAATTCTAAAAGTACATTTGCTCTGTATTGAATTTTCGACATCAATATTTCAACAGAAAATTCTTCATCTCACTGCCCCGCTTCATTTGTACACTAATCACACATTGCTTCAGTTATATCTTTGCGTAATTAAAACGTTAAAAATCACATAAAGTAACTTCAAATGTATTGGTGAAGATGGTGCGCTGCTACTGCTAATAAGCTACGTGGTTTCTTCATTCTCTTCTGTTGCTGCTGTGCGTTTATTGTAGATATACGTGCGTGTCAGATGATGACAAATTTTGTCCACTCTATACATATATTTTTAAATAAATATTGGCAACTGTTGTCTCTACTATTTAAGTCAAGTTACACGATAGACGACCAAACGACCCGGAACAATTGTTAAAATACAGAAAACAGAAGAGTAAGGCGGGTATGCACGAGATACTACAAATAGCCTGAATGTGTGTGTGTGTGTGACGTGACGGACGAGAATTATCAGGCCTAGTGTATTTTATTCCCGAATGCTCTCTGAATACAGTTCGTTATCGTGATAATTAGCATGGTTTGGACGTTTTTGTTTCAATGACGCACGTGGGATAGGAGGTATTTCGTATACAATATTCAACTTGGATTCATAGGAAGACCTTCGTTCTTTAGTTAAACTGGTATCTTCGTTATCTTGTCGATTCCATTTTCTGTAAATATAAAACGAATTAAAAATTAATACGTAACAATTTTG